AGTAGGAAGGGCTCTTCAGACATTACACAGCATACTGAACAGGGTTTAGGTAACCCGAAGTTGTTCTGACACAGTTCTTTGTCTCCAGGTGTCACAGACACAACACCCTGGACTGCCCATCTTTTCAAGGGCATATAGTAGTGACAGATATCTCTGGAGTTTGTTAAACACAGTGTGGGAAGAAAAACAAGCACACCATTTTTAAATAGGGGACTTCTCCTCAGAAAACCTGCCATAATTAATTGTGAAAGACAGCACACTTCTCCAGAAATCCTCTTCCAAAAATCTCCTCCACAGCATTCCCAAGTACAGGCTGATTCAACGCCAGGCAGGACTGGGTTCCACAACATACCGGTACAGATGGGTGCGTTGGCAAATGAACTCAACTGTCAGCCAGTAACCTCTGAGCTGTCAAGTGTGGCATAAACTGCAATGCTTTCCTTTTCACTTGTAACAGAAGAGGGTTATATTATCAGACAGTGACTCCAGAAAAGGAATAAATAATTCCATGCAGAATTAAGAACGCCTAAGTGTCATGGTGACCATATGTATGTTCTATCCACTGACCTGTAAAATTCATGGACCGAAATAGTAAATACAGCTGAAGTCTTTAGAACACAGGATTATTTCAAGCACTATGTCTCACAGGACTGAGATGTTTTGTGACAGCCCATTTCCCAACTGACAGACATTCACATTCAAAATGCAACCACCACCACCAACACCCTCACTGCTGGGCTGAGGAGGAACACACGCTAATTAATTGAATAGAAGCCAAATTATTCTCTCTTGCAATAAAGATGACATTGGAGAGGATCCAAAATGCATTCAGCAGCAACTTCACCTAGTTTGTCAGATATTAAAATTACCTCTGAGGGAGCCTGTTCCGCTTATTTTCAAGGGCTTGAGCAATTGTTATTCTGAACGCCGTCTTCCACACACATCTGAGCTGCCTAACACAGAACAAAGATGCCCCACATTTTCCTTTTACCTTATATTTTTGAATCACAGATGCTTGTAAAGCAGCTGTGAATAGAAAAAAACTGCTTGACTTTGCTGCTCTGGTAAACTCCCTGTATAATTTGCTTATATTCTCAGGAATCTGCTTCTCCTGGCAATTCTGGCTTTCTAACGACTTCTAAATCCATCTGAATCCATCAAGTAAAGGTCATTTCCTCTCTCTATTATTGAAAGAAATAAGATACAAATCCTATATCTATGAATTCCTCTGCCATGTACTCTGCTAGGAAGGGCATGCACTCTGAATAATTTGCCTACACTAGCACAGAAAAAGCACAGACAAAAACTTACTTGTAACTATAACAGAGGTTCTCATTCTCCCCCTTTTCCAAACAGAAGGACGTATTTCCTGAACAAGCACAGACAATTCCCTCTTGTTCTGACATACAAACAGTACAAATAGGCAACATCCCCCACTTAACAGTTAAATTAGGAATAGCTCCAAATAAAAGTATAAAAAACCATTTACTTATGAGCATCAGACTTAATTAATCAAGATTAAGAAACGTATTGTATATCCTTATACACCACTTTCAACTTCCAGGCAACGAGCATCTATTCAGAAGAGCTGAAAGGACAGATGGTGGGCCCTAACAAACTACACACGAGCTAGAGAACTATGCTTTTGGAATTATATTCCCAACTCAGGTCAATTCTTTCAGTCTCTTACTCATGCCCAAATCTTACCTCTATACTGTGGAGATAATAATGTTAAGCTGGGACTGTTAGGAAAGAGAAACATGACTTTAGTTCTTCACTGTGTACTAGAATACATCAAAAAGCACTGAAATTCTCCTGCAACTGGCGAATTTGCAGCTCCCAGACATCATCCTGTTCTGATGAACATGCGCTTCAAATCTTCCAATGTACTTTTTCTTGTCTCTATGTAGTTGAGATAAGGATTCAAAGGCTGGACTACTCAGTGAATAAAGAATTGGTAGGATGGTTGTAGCCAGAGAGTTGTTATCAACAGTGCAGTGTCCAGGTGGAGCCTGGTCACAAATGCAACCTCAGCACATTTGCAGATGACACCAAGATGAGTGGTACAGCTGACACAACAGAAGGAAGTGGCAACATCCAGAAGGACCTGGAGAGGCTCAAGATGTGGGCACACCCAAACCTAGTGAGGTTCAACAAGGCCAAGCACAAGGTGCTGTACTTGGGTCAGTGCAATATCAAATACGTTCATAGCCTGAGATTAGAATTCCTTGAAAGCTGTTCTGCAGAGAAGGACTTGAGGGTCCTGATAGAGAAAGAGCTAGACCTGAGCCAGAGCCCAGAAGGCCAACTGTATTCTGGGCTACATCAAAAGAGGGGTGGCCAGCAGAGCCTGGGGCTCCCAGCACAAGAAGGATACAGAGATGTTGGAACAGGTCCTGAGGAAGGCCATGAAGATGATCAAAGGGCTGGAGTACACGTATTGCAAAGAAAGGTTGAGGGAGCTGGGCTTAGAGAATAGAAGGTTTTGAGGAGACCTCACTGCAGTATTCCAGTACTTGAAGGGAACCAACATTTTACATGGTCTCGTAATGGTAAGACAAGGGGGAATGCTTTTAACTAAAAGAGAGGAAATTTAGGATTTTTTCCTAACATCTAACCTAACTCAGAAGGTGGTGAAGCACTGGGAAAAGTTGCCCAGAGAAGCTGTGGATGCTGCATCCCTGGAGACATGCAAGGTCAGGGTGAGTGAGGCCCTGGACAGCCTCACCTAATGTGGCAATCCTGTCTGCAGCAGGATAGTTGAAGTTAGACAATATTTAAGGTTCTTTCCAAAACAAGCATTTCCACAATTCTATGATTTTATACTTAGTATTTAGATATTGATTAGCATTGATCCAATTTTCTGATTACCATTTATTTACCTCCTGTTTCTGGAGGTCCTTCCATGCTACATGCCTGCCAAATTCCATGCCTTATTCTCCACTTTTAATTTCTACAGCTTATCAGCTTTAATTATCTACAGCTTATATGTATGTCTCCTCCTAGCTTTTTTTTTTTTTTTTTTTTTTTTTTTTTTTAAGTTCCCTCTCCCATAGCCCAGAACAAGTTGCACTCTTTATATTTATTGTAATTTCCCTGGAAATGAACAGGAGGCATTACTTACAGAATGACCTATGAAATTACAGTTCCTATTTTACCTTTCTTTTGCTCCTTATGAATACAAGCCTCTCTCTAAATCCCTCTTAGTACTATTTTACTAGAATTTACTTCTGTTAACATGTTTTTCCAAAGGCCTTGTGTCACAATAACCTTATATAGTACCAGTTACTATTCATGTATATTACCTGTCATACTAAACACAGAGGTACTGATTTTAAGCAATTGATACTAGCATATTTCTTTACAGTTCAATAACTCCAGGTAGAAGATGCTCTGCTACCAAGTTAATATTGATCCTTGTTGTTACAAAAATTGGAGATGCCCAAGGAGAAACTGTTACACATTTTGCTTAGTTTATGAAACTGTCTTCTTCCAGTTTTTCTGTTGCTGATGCTAGCTTTACAAACTGAACGGGAGCCTGTCTTCCCAAAAAAAAAAAAAAAGCAAATAGATGTTTGTTCTTAAGATGTGATATATACAGAATAATTTATAATCTGAGATGAACCAATCTATGCTAATCAAACTGAAGAGCTAGATATTTCTATCAAGATCATAAGAAGGAGAGAACATTTTCACTATAGCATAAACTGTGGTTAATAATGATAATTAACTTTATTAACTTTGGTAAATAAAATAAATCCATTTTCACTTCCTACATTGTGAAAGCTAACTAGTGAGTTTGGGCCAAGACTATTATCGAATCACAAGTAGTTACTCCAGACAACTAGTTACTCTCCCAACATAAGAGGTAGGGAGAATTGATTCCACCCAGATGATGAACAGAAACACTGGAAGACCAGCCCAAACTCACTGAGGTTCTGAATGATCAAATGTCTCTCTGGTTCAAGTGAAACCTAACTTTTGTGTTTAAAAAAAAGAAAAAAAAAAAAAAAAAGAAAGGAAGATAAGAATACTTACAAGTATATACACAAAGGCACGAACCTCATTAGGTTGACTGAAATCACAAAGAAAGCCTCTGACTGAAAAAGGACTCATTTAGGTCCTTTCAAGTACAGTGAGAGCACCTTAGTCCTTATTTGCTTCTACTTCTGCTTGAAGTTAGAGCATGGCCATGTTTATACAAGCCATTAAACAAAGACACTTCAGGACAATCAGTGTAATTAGCACCTTCTATCATTTAGTAAATAAGAACATTAACATGCTCTTAATATTACTTATTATTTCTCCACTACTACAACCGCATTTGAAAATGGGCTTGACTTCTTTTAGATACCTGTGCTTTGACAAAGTAAGGTAATATAATTCCAGAATTTGGCATCTTTATTCCCTTAAGATGATGTATGCTTTCATAACTTAAACTGAGAAAATACAGTCAAAAGGTTTTTCTTTTTTCCTTTTTCAAGTAGTACATTGTCACTAGATTTTACTATTTATACAAACTAGGCAAAGAGACAAGAGAAGATTAAAGAAAAAAAAAAAAGTAGAGAAAAAAAACTTAGTAATTCTTTCTTTTTCACTCTGTAGTATGGCAACACATTTCCCAGTTGAAAATAAGACAAGCATGTACTGCTGACAGATCAAAACACACAGTATGGAAGACTTTACTTAGAATCTGTCCAAGGTAGAAGTGTTCCATACAGTGCTCAAAAAAAAAAAAAAAAAAAAAAATACAGTGAAGTGTCTCTTCTGCTAACTATATTCAGATTTGGCTCTACCTTGTTTCAAATAAAGACATGAACAGAGATTCAAATATAAGCATATTCATTTTTTCTGACATCAACAATTAAAACAAAACCTTACTAAGTCTCTTTATTAAACAATAGATGCAAAATAAATCTCTTTGCAAATTTACACCACCCATTTTCTTCACATCACCTGAGAAGTCATTTACCTCTGAAATACTACCTGTGTTGTTAAAAAATATATATATATTCATTTCTAATGAATTTTTTCCACTTCTAAACACATATGAAAACCAGTAAAGCTTCTTCCATCTTTTCTCACGATTTTTTTTCCCCTGCGTCAGAAAATGTATTTCATGAAAGCAAACTTGAAGATAAAAGGAAAAGGAAAGACAATTTACTTTACAAAAAACTAGAAACAAGCTTTTGGAGCCATTTGTATTAGTTGATTTCCTATTCCATAACTGGTCCCAAAGCTAAAAGGCAGCTTTCACTTCTGGCCACCTCAAATGCTCTGAAAGAGCAAACAAAGTCAACTCAAATCCCAAGTGCTCTACAACCTTCAAAATGATTCTGTCCCATCTGTGGCTGTTAGGTAGGGTGGGATGGGTCATAGAACAAGGATGGTCAACAGTCATCATAGAGAAAAGCAAACAATCATTAGCAGATAAGCAGGAAAACACACTGATTTGTACAAGTGAGGCAGACTCCACCTCAGTGGAACATCAGGAGGAACATTTTAAACTGTATGTAAGTGGTACACACCTACAAGCTCTGAGGGAGCTGGCTGGTGTCAGGACAAGGCCTCTGCTGGCTTTACTACTATTAACTACAAGCTTACAAGGCCAAATTCTGGGCCATCACACCTGTTATTATATATTGTACATTTTAAGGGAAAGCTTCCTGTTCTATCATGTTATTCAATTTGCCTGTTTCATAGTTCAGCAAGAGACAGATCTATTTTCCTTTTATGTGAGTAGCTATCATAATAAAGCAGTAAGTAGCAGTAAGTAGTTCCTGATCAGCTCAGCAGGATACATGGGAAAAAAAAACACTACTCCAAAATACATAAAAATGAAACTTGTACAAACAAAATTCAAACTGACAGGGCTCAACTTTCGGGCTTTTTTTTTTTAATTAAATAAATTCTTAGAAGGCACACCACTACTGCACCCATGCTTCTTCAAATTATCCCTAGTCATGCTATCAAAGATAGCTATCACCACAGAGCTTTCATATTTTAAAAGTTACCTACAGCAGATGATTAAACGACAATGAAAGGAAGTGTGGTGAAAGATGATCTTTCTAGTCATTCCAATTTCTGTTTTATTTTTCTAAGCAGTAGTATCATCTGTCTTTCCATGGTTGGTACACAAGAGATCACATCCAGCGCTCCTGAGGCCATGATCTTTGCTAGCTGAAGGAAAGTAAAGCATTTCTCCCTGTCACAATATTAATTACAAATCTATAGCTATGTAGCAAGAGTGAATGCTTAGCTAAACTGCACTTCAGGTCCACACTAATGCAGCAGTGTTTAGTCTTCCTAAATTCCACCTCTGCTTACAGAAGCCTCAAAAAAAAAAAAAAAAAAAAAATCACCTCCAGAAGAAACTCACTGCATGATTTCCTCCAAATTCACCATCCCGCTGCTAGCCTGCTTTTAGAGGCCGACTTCCTTAAATTAACTTCTTTTTGCATGCAATTTGCAGAGAGTAATGATGAATTTTATATTGTGCCTTTTAATACTGCATGCAAACCAGATTCTCATTCATTGCACTGCTGCTATTAATTACCATAAGCTGGGAGGTTTGTAGACATTTTTCCTCACAGCAAATTCCCCAGCTCTCCTGGCAGCATACTTTTTCATTTTCCTTTGGTAACATATTTTTTTTTCAGGCTTATTTCACATCAATCTGGTTTGAACTGCATTGCCCTGTGCCAGCTCAGCTTCTGAAAGTCTTAATTGTTTTTGGTATTTTTCTCATTATTCTCCTTCTACCCAGAGAAGACAGCAAATGCTGAAATTACGCTGTTTCACATCATTAAGACCATTAGTATAAATAATGAGGTTTTAGAGTATAGCTAAACCTCATAATAGCCCATTAGCAATGTCTGTCCAGAATGAAATTTACCTGTAATATAGCTACTTTATGTGCCATTTACTTCAAATCCAGCAAGCCAATCTGCCTTCACACATAAGGGTTGAAGGCTAACATAACACTCAGAAAAATTCTTTTAATAAAGTAGAACAGCTATAAGGATGTCAAACTTCACATACATTTGCACTGTCAAGACACTACTTGGCTGAAATGCTGACTGGTGCTACAAGGAACAATCAAATCCATTTTTACTTTTTCTTTGCATGAGAACTTAAGTCACTATCAGTATGTTTGATTATTATTTTAGTTAGCTCTATTTTCCTATTTTAGTAAAACAACTATAGTGCTCAGGAATCTTTTCCATAAAATTATTTTTAAATACTTTGTAAAATATTTGAGTATCTACCACACTATCTTCATGTAAAATTTTATAATAGATAACAATGTTTATCAGTTATTTCTATCCTCATAGAGCATGGAAGATACACAGGCCACGTAGTACACATTCTTGTTGTTCTTCCCACTGCATTACAAGACAGCAGAGCAGCAAGACACCAGGCTACAGCAAGCGAGGTTCTGCTCAAATGCAACAGCAGCAGGCACAAAAATAAGAGAAAGAAACTACTCACCTTCTGAAGGCCAAGAAGATCCTCAGGTAGTCAGGAAACTCACGATGAAACACCCTTGCCCCCACTGCCAGCCCTTAAGTGAGGTCTGGGAAGGGTGGAGCTAGGATCCACCCCTTCCAGTCACTCAGGTGCACCTGAATTTCCTTGGGTTGGCCCTGCCTTCCTATCAGGTGCTCAATCTCTGGTTCAAGTCATGACCTAGCATTTCCACCCACTGTTATTGTTCCTCAACATCATTAGTGAAGCAATACAACACATGGAAATGAAAAAAAAAAAAAAAAGAACAAAAACAGAAAAAAATGATTCACTGTCAGAAATTTTATCAACCTATGTTACTGTCCCCTGTGTATTACCTGTGTGGAAGAATGTGTGCAAGTCTACAATATTTGAAACAACTTTTGATGGTGGAAAAAATAGAATTAGAAATGCAATAGGTAATGGGAGGTATGTCATAAATCTTTTCCCATCATATAGTAAGTCATCGTCACAGCTGTACAGTCCTAACTTGTTAGCCAGCATCCCTTTTGCATAAATGTTTCTGAGAAATTTCTGTGCCAAATTTTAGGGGAAAAAATTCTAATTTAAGTAAAAACAGAGGTTGGTCAACGTAGAGGTTGCTACAGTTGTGTAAATTGCAATATACTTATAAAACTTTCAGTAAAATGCAACTTGTTTATTTGAGACCTCTTAGCCATCACATGTATGTGCCTCATAATTTCAGTAGTAGGCTTTCTTACTTGTTTTCTAAATGAACACTTTGTCAGGTTGACACACAGTAGATTCTGCCTTAATTGTTCATATATTTCATCTATTACAGAGGCTAACAAACTTAGAAATTGATTGTTGATAACTTGAATTCTGTGTAATTATAGAAAAGAGTATAAAAATACGTTCTTTTAGTATCTATTTTTTTTTTTAATACCAAAAAATAAGCTGGCTAAAGAACACCAGTGATAATTTTCTGATCCTGCTTAATTAGCAAACTCCACTACTTAACCTGCGTTTCAATGACTTTTACATTCTTGTATCATTTTTTTTCCCTCCATCACACCTCAGAGACTGGTATAAGCACTAAGGTGATATCCTCAGCCAGTGGGAAACTGAGGAGGGAGCTGGAAGATTGAAACATCTCATCTTCAAGGACAACTGGCATGACTGCACTTCTGCATTCACAATTAATTTATTCAAAATCAAACCACCAGATTAAATAATAATAATAAAAAGTCCACTTGGAATTGCAACAGAAAATTAAAATAAAGCTAGAAGACAAGAATAAGCTCTTAGGCTTTAGATGAGATGCTGGCATACTAGAGCTGAATTATAGTGGAAATACAGTGGGTGCTGTGTAAGGCTTTTTGTCAGCCAAAACAGAAGAAAATCCCATCAACCTACACCAATACTCAGATTATCTTTTGCCTGGAAGGGATTTGGAGATCATACCAACACCAGAACTCATGCCAAAATCAAAAGCAGAATGCTGATTAGCAGAAATCCATGTTCTTGAGAGGCAGTACCTTCCACTCCAGTGCCTAATACAGTCTTCCAGTGCACAGTGAGCAGTATTATAAGCACAATGCCAAAAAAGAGCACTACCTAACCCACTTTATCAGTTTATAGTTTATGTGAGATCGGACAAGCTAAGATAAGACGAGATATAAGAGCCTACCATAAGCATGAATGTCATTTTTTCCTTTCACTACATAGAACTCATGTCCATATGCACAGCCAGATGGCATTCCATCCTGAATGCTGGAAAGAACATCATAGGAAACAAATTTAGATTAAACAGAAGGAGAAAACATGAAGAAAAAAACTGCCTTTCAGTCAATAAGCAAGTCAGAGTTCACAAGAGGATAATCATTTGGCCCCAGAAATGATGGAGACCAGTGAAGACACAGTAATCATAAATGTATCATTCCACTGAAAAACAGAATTTATCATTTTTATCCTCTTCTCACAAAACACACTACTCAGATTACTTGCTACAAGTCTCCTTTTTGAGCAAAAATAAAAACTTATCTACCACATGAAGAGCAGGTCTTTATTTTTACTAAAACAAGTAAAAGAAATTCTCTCTTTTTAAAAGAATTACTGATGTAAATGTTGGAGTGAATAAAGTTATGTATCAAACCTCAATGCTGAGAAAAGATTACAGTATACAACAAAGATGGCAGTATGGAAAATCATTGAGTGCCACTTTTCACAACACACACAGCACAAGTCAAACACTTCCAAGGCACAAAGTTGCATTAGTACCACCAAAGCCAAATGAATTTGTAAGTGCAATACGCCGCTTTCCAGTTTTCCATTCCTGAGCTGTTAATGGAACATAATTGAGATCAAACTCCGGCTCTGTTTTTTCTAAGTTTAAAGTAGGTGGCAAAATTGCATGGTAACAGGACAGCGCAGTAAAAGCTGCTTCAATAGCTCCTGCAGCTCCCAAAAGATGTCCTGTTGCTCCTTTTGTCGAGGAAACTGCAAGATTACGTGCATGATTTTTAAAAAGTTTCTTGATTGCTTGATTCTCAGCAGCATCTCCTAAAGGAGTAGAAGTTGCATGTGCATTGACATATGTTACATCTTCAGGCTTGATTCCAGAATCTTTTATTGCTGCAGACATACATCTAAGAGAAAACAAACAAACAAAAGTCACCAGAATGCTGAATTTTCCATTATATTTTCATCATGTATTCAAACCAAAAGCAAAGGCACAGAGTGTCTGAAACTGTTTAGCAAATGTAGAAATCTGCAGGACATACTTTACTAGTTTTGAGAAGAGATGGTGTTCATCTAAGTAAACTAACATCTACAATTAGCCATTCAAGAAAGACAGCAGTGGTGAGGTCCAATATAGCATCAGATTTCCTACTAAAAACTTGGTTTAATTCCACAATTGAGAAAAATACAAGCTGAAAGAAAGAAGATAAAACAATCTCTGCAGATGGCATTAGTATGTCAAAGTTCCTCTTCAAAGCAAAATTTTAAAACATCTGAGAGGAATGACTACCTGAAATTTTTACAAAAACAAAGATTCCTTTCTGTGAAGTCTAATATTAAACAAGAATTGAAGATTAATATCAGTAGCTGATATTAATGAAACATTCAGCACAGTGCTCCACGAAATCCCCTTGGCTTTGTAAAGAAAAAGAAGATTCCCCAGTTTCTACCTTTTATTTATCATTACATTTACAGTATTAGGAAATCAAAATAAAAAATGCTCTATCCAAAGAAAATATTTGGAGATGCAAGAAATATTCTAAAGTTGTACTCCTTTTGAGCGGTTTTTGCATGCTTTCTAGAGGTGAGAAGATATCATCCACTTCCTTACCCTAGAGTAGCAAGATGATAATCTAAATTCCTGTATATTAAACTGAAATTTACTGAATGTCACACTCATCCACTCTGATACCACACGTTCCATTGTGGCTCCTGATTACCTGTGTACTACAATTGCCTGTATAAACCATGCTATTTTATTAAAGATACAGCTCCATAGTGTTGTTTTCTTCCACAGTTTCTCACAGACAGGTGACCATTCACACAACCCTCCTTGTGAAAGATCACTAATTCCTGAAATTTATGAAAACTAAGAAAGTAAAAGGGAAGTAAAACTAAGAAGTAAAAGAAAAAAAGGCAGCACGAGCTGCTGGAGAAACTGAAATGTCTCCATTACAGCCTTCTACTCCCAGAAGCATCCAGCTTAGTTTAGGCTGTAGTTTCAGTGATTCTCATTGTCACTAAACAGTAAGCCAGAATTCAGACAAAACAATTACTGATCAACACTGAGGGAAATTGATACATTAATTTAAAGCTGCAAGTAACATAATTACTTAAGGAGATAACAGATTATTGTGTAGAATACACTTCATAGACACATTTCTGAGTCTGGCCTTGCTTCTCCTGCCCTGTTAGGTTCATTCCAACATGTTTTAATCTCCTGAAGTAGTTATTAGAAGAGGACAAGATATATATTCCCCCGAAATTTTCTGATGTGGCAAATAGAATTCCTACGGAGAAGTAAGAGAAGCATATACATTTCAAATTTGATTCACATACGACTGCAAAACACAAATATTAGTATGAAAATTGTATTAAAATGTATTATCTCATCTCAAGGGTAGAAGTGTACAATATTTTGGGGATAGTAAGATTAACTTTCAGCTACTTCCTACTGTGAATTCAATTTATATGCTATTGCAATTGTAAAATATGCAAAAACTCTATTACAAAATATTGCTGTATCATCTCAAGGGTAAACACAAGTCTGAAAATCTCAGGTAAGAAACTCATGATTACTCAATTCCCAGCTAAGTTGGTAGAACAATAAGCTATGAATTGTAGCACAGAGGGAAATCTGATATATTACACCTCCTGAAAAATTTGTTTATCTAGCAAAGATACAAACTCAGCTTTACAATACCATGCAGAACCTTGATCTATTTGCACAGCAATAGATTGAATTCTGATATCAAATATTCACATACAATCAGGGTAACACAGACTAGTGGATACTTCAAACCTGCAGTAATATTTGGCCTACATAAAGCTCACAAACAATACATATATGTCTAATTCAACTGATAATTAGTCCAACTATAAAGATTAGATAAATACTATCTACTTGTTCACTATTTCTTATGAGATTAACAATAATGAAGCTTTACCATCTTGCTAAATCGTGCATTTCTGCTATGCAATTTCACCAATACTGTTAACCAGAATTAAGTATTTAATCATGATTGTACCAGAGCCAAACTATCTAAATAATTTCCCCACAAAGAGTCACAGATTTTTCTAAACCCCAATAATCACTGTGAATGCTAACAGTGGCTATTCTAGTAAAATCTTCCAAGCATATTATAATAAACTAGATCCTCCTCTTATCATGTGGCATTTCTTAAGGAATGTTATTCCACTTTAAGAACATAACAAATGACGTGGCCTACTTTTGCAGCGAGGTTTCTTTTCTCTACAACAACTTCAAAAGTTTCTGCAGTATCACAAGGTCTTGTGATAAACAAAAGGTTTCCATTGGGACTCATTTGTGTGAATAGCTGAAGGCACAAAATGTAAGATGTTTTCACATGGAGAAGACTTTCATCAACAAAAAGGTTGATTCTAGCAAGAAGTGGACTTCATCCAATTTCTTCAAAAAACAAACAAACATTGTGGAATGTTTTACTAAGAGCTGGTAAAATGCATTTTCTCAGCTATTGGAATATTAATTCAAGACTGAATAGCATTTCCCTAGAAAACCTACAAAGCAACAGAAATATATGTAGCCTTTATAATTAATACATGAGGCAGCTATCGTAGTCAACATATAGCTCTTACCTGAATGCACCATCTCCCTCCGGATTAGGTGCTGTTATGTGGCAAGCATCACCCGACAGTCCATAACCTAAAATTTCTGCATAGATCCTGGCACCTCTCTGCACAGCATGTCCGTACTCTTCCAAGACCAGCACTGCAGCACCTTCTCCCATTATGAACCCTTCTCTCTGTGAATCAAATGGCCGACATGCCATTTTAGGTCTTGTGTTAAAACTAGTGCTTAGGGCCCGAGCTCTGGCAAACCCAGCCAAGGACAAAGGACTAATGCAAGCCTCAGTCCCTCCAGCCAACATGACATCAGCATCACCCACGGCGATAAATCGAAAGGAGTCTCCAATAGCATGCGCGCCGGTGGTACAAGCAGTTGACACGGCATGATTTGGCCCCTTCAGTTGGTATTTAATGCTGATCTGACCTGCTGCCATATTGACTAAAATCTTTGGGACAAAGAATGGGCTGACCTTGTTATAACCCTTTGTTTTAAATAAAGCGGCTGTATCAGAAATCTCTTCCAGTGGAACCATTCCCATTCCAATTGCCACACCGGCTCGTAAATGGTCCTGTTCAGACTGTGGAGACCAACCAGAGTCTTTCATTGCCAGCTCTGCTGCACCGATGGCCATGACAGTAGCTGAACTCATGGACCTGATCTCTGACTTTGAAACAAAGCTCTCTTCTTTGAAATGGCCCTCTTCATCTCCCCGTGGCACACAGGCAGCTACTCTACATGGAATGCCCGCGTATTCTTCCCCATCTAGTGATGCAATCCCACTGTCTCCTTGGAGAAGGCGCTTCCACACAAGCTGAGTCCCCACACCAAGAGGAGACACCAAGCCAATACCCGTAACAACTACTTTCCTTCGACACGCAGGCAGTGACTTGCTGAAAGCTCTCCTGTGATTTCTTAAAAGCAGATTCAAATTCAGACTCCGGAGATGAAGTTTTGCAATCTTTAACAGCTCCTGTGAGCACTGTGAGAACATGGTGGAAACCAATCAATCTGTGCACATTCCTGTAGCTGCAGGGGGAGGAAGAAAGGCACAAACACAACAATAAAACAGACAATATGAGAAACGTTCTGTCCTGGTTATCAGTATTCCATATCATGACATCATGCGACAGTTTGGGTGCAGAAAGAAGCACTGGGCACTGCAGAGTTGTGTCTCCTGGTTTCTCTAGCAGCCTCACACAAGTTTTGATTCTCCAAGAGGAAGACATACTGGGATGTACTGCATTTCCCAGGAGCCTCCACATGACTTTTTGTGTGACAGGGGAAGACCTCTCTTGTCTTTTCCAGTACATATGCAGTGGGGGGCCTGTTTATAAGGACTCGCACAGGTTTGCTCTCCTCTGGATCCATTTTTGGTTAATTTTGATTTATTACTCTTGATTATTCTGTATTAGCTCACATTTCTTTTAATAAACTAGTTTATCCTATATTTTTGCACTCTTCCTTTCCTTCTCTTCTCCCAAGGTAAGGGAGAAGTATCCCATGATTAACTCTTCAAACTACAAAACATGCCAAGTCTGATCTTGCCAAGTTAATAAGCTGCTCTTTACACAAAACCCTAGTGTCAACACTGCAGGAAGAGATGTAATTTCTATGTCTGTCATCAGAAGTAGTATGCGTCACCTTTGTGGGCTGCAAGGCAATCACTGGTTTTGCTGCAAACTTGCCTCAGAACTACCAGCTGTCTGGAAATACCAACAATAAGCATACATAACTTCATCCTTCTCAGAGAGACCTAAAATGTCCTAGCATTGTCATGATAAGGATGCCACAGTATTAACCCTTACGTCAGCCAGAACAGGCTAGAAAACAAGGTAACAGCACTGTTAGGCCACAGGTCAGGAATTGGATCTCTTCCTGCCACAAACACAACCAGGCATCTTAGACAGTCTCCTCACCATCCTATCTCCACTCATGCTTCATAGAATCATAGAATGTCCTCGGTTGAAAAGAACCACAGTGATCACCTAGTTTCAACCCCCCTGCTATGTGCAGAGTCGCCAACCACCAGACCAGGCTGCCCAGAGCCACATCCAGCCTGGCCCTGAAGGTCTCCAAGGATGGGGCATCCACAACCTCCTTGGGCAACCTGTTTGAATGCATCACCACCCTCTGTGTGAAAAACTTCCTCCCAGTATCTAACCTAAACCTCCCCTGGCTCAGTTTAAAACCGTTCTCCTTTGTCCTATCACTATCCACCCTCATAAACAGCTGTGCCCCCTCCTGTTTATATGTTCCCTTCAAGTATTGGAAGGCCACAATGAGGTCTCCCTGAAGCCTTCTCCAAGCTAAACAAGCCCAGTTCCCTCAACCTTTCCTTACAGGAGAGGTGCTGCAGCCCCGTGATCAGCGTAACGGTATTCAGAGTAGGGTGGGGACAGTACCTCCAATGGATGCACCACAGCAGCACCTTGAAAGGCTTATAAATTGAAGGAAAAAAACCAAAACATTTTGGATTGCAATCATTTTTCAGTTGGGCAGACTGGCATCTCTACGTTGTGATGTTTACACTTATAATCTAATAGAAAGGTAACGATTATACAGACAAATGACATTCTAACACTGCTCTGCCAGAAAGCAGCTTTTCAACAATGCCACAGCACTTACACCATACCCTGAGATCTGACTATGAACTGACTGCTGCCAGAAGCCATGAAACATACGGCCTGCAGCCGTCCCAGCTCCCCTGGATGTCACACCATAGGAACTCCCCATGATGCCAAGTGAGGACAGAGGGCTGATGCAGAGCAGCACTTCAGGCAGGACACACTGGGTGCAAGGAGTGGGCTGAGCAGCGTGCCGCAGTGCTGTGCCCTTCTCGGTCCCAGTTACATACATCCATCACATGGGAGCAGAAGGGATTTGACTCTTTGCAGAAGTAATTACTTGTGCCCAGGAAAGGACTCTTTAACCAGCAACAACCCAGTGGTCAAAGGTGGAACCCACACAGCCACGTGGGCTCTGCGCCATCACAGGGTATGCACTGGTAAAATACATAGCATTTGGTAAAGTACTTAGAGATGAACCGGGAACACGTCGGCATAAGGGAAATGCACTTCTAGCAAATAACAGAGCCCTGCTCTATTCCCTCGCAGCAAAACGTGCGTAGCAGCATTTCTGGCAAATAAAAAGCCAACAGTGCTTACTAACGTGCACAGGACGTTAAATCATAATCCGAATTTGTCGGTTTAAATTATCTTTACCCAGTTAGCCTGGGTTTTAGGTAAAGAGCGGAGAGATAATGGAAGGAATCATTAAAGCAGCGCACGTCTAACAGCCACGGCTCCTGATAAAAGGCAGCTCGTCTTCAAGCAATTAGAACGGCTAATCTGCGGAAAAGCAAAGGGGGATTCACTTCTCCCAGGGACCGCAGCTGATTTTACATTCCTGGCCGTTCCTAATATTCGACGTGGTATTCAAGTCGCCCTCGGGCTGCAGCCACCACGCGCCGGCTCCGCGCCCCTCCCGCCCGCCGAGCCCTCGCGGTACCTCCGCCGGCCGCGTTCCCCCCCGCTCAGCTATGGTTGGCTCCGCCTCCCTCCTCCGTGCCGCCGGCGCGGGGCCGCACCACTCGGGACGGGCAGGGGGTGGGCATGCGACGGCTTCGTAGTCGATCCCCGATCGGCGGAGAGAGCGAATCGGTGATTCGGCGATGGGCTGCGCGGCCGCCACGGGCGCTCCCCGCCCACGGGGCCGCGACTTCGGCGCCGTGACCGCGCAGGCGCGCTGCGGCGCTCGCCTGGCGCAGAGCGGGGCTGGAGGCGCAGGTCGTTGGGAGCCGGCGCGATGGCGGGCTCTGCGGGTCTCTCCCTGCCGTCGAGCTCCCCCGCCGTCAGAGAGCTGTGCAAGAACGCGCGGGACACTTTCCTGGAGGCCTCTCGGCTGCTCCTCACCTACGCGGACAACATCTTGCGGTGAGCGGCGTCCCGTCCGCTCCCCCCCGCCCCTCGTAGGCACCCTGCCGCGGCCGGGGCCGTGACTGATGTCCAAATTCTGGATGGGTGTCGTATTCCGCCTATGTGGCGTGGATGAAACCAAACACTTGAAAAAGCGTCTTGCAAACAGCCGGTGCCGCGTAGTGTAGGTCCCCTGCTTCTCAGTGTTCTCTTTAATTTGCAAACTTAATTAAAACTTTCGATTTCTTCAGAAATCCTTATGAAGAAAAATACAGATCAATTCGGAATGGAAATCCAGCGTTTTCCACGAGGCTGTTACCTGTCAGGGGAGCAGTTGAGTGTTTGTTTGAAATGGGATTTCAAGAGGTGAGTATAATCATTTGTGGAGCCTTCATCACTTTGCAAACTAAGATTTAAAATTGCTTTCTTCTTTCCCAGCACAGCAGATGTTAAGCCAGGGTTGCTTGTTCCCACCGCCAGTATGGCTTATGTGGTCCTGTAGTAAGTTATATAAGATAGCTGATCTTGTTGAAAATTGTTTCATTATTTTGGGGGGGTTGGTTTTTAGCCAGTTCACAGTGCAGCTGCACAAGTACTAGCGTTGTTGTGACAGCTGTGAAAAGGGCAGCAGATTATTGAAGTAGTGAGACAGTGGGACTTACATAATTAAATAATTATGAAACTGCTTCTTAACATTGTCTAAAGTGAATATTGATTCTGTTGCAGTCATAAACATTTATTTCAAAGATTGCTTTGCATGCTGAAATGGTCTCTGTCTTAATATATTTTAACTCCGAAGCTTCTTGAGCTCGAATCAACCTTCATATTTACAGCAGTGCTGGGGTGAAAGAAATAACTTTTGCTTAATGGTGCAAAGATCTTGCTCTAGCTTTGCTTTATTTTGTGCGTTTCATGCTGCAATTGTGTGTGGGTACATATGTTGTTATGTAGGTCTGGTTGTCATGAGATACTTTCTTCTGTTCTGGTGAAGTTCATTATTTATCCTAATTTTAGGAAATAAATAAATGCATGCAGAAAGAAATGGTGACTTCAGAGGAAGAAGTGATCTGTAGGTTTATTTGCAGGCTGATGCATAGGAGATTACTTTGAAACAAAGTGTTTTAGCCAAGACATAGTCAAGCAGGGAGGGAAGCACTCAAGCAGTAATAGCTTAGTCATTTTCAGGCCTATTGTAAAATGCTACTTCCTCTTCTGTCAGATCTTTAAGAGTCTCAGTCTTCTGATTATAGTGCCAGCTGAGGCTGGAGTTCACAAACTTTTCTCCAACTATAGTAGGTACAATTGTTCTTTCTTTTGTCTGCCTGGTGAGCTAACTTAATTTGAAAACAAACAACAAAAACAAACAAACAAGGACTTCTGGATTCCATTTAGTTTTGTGGTGATTTTATGTGCAAAAGTAAAGCACTGCATCTACATGATGGGTGCCTAAGTGTGGGTAAAAACATTACTTGGTTTAATAAATAGAAGTGCTGTAGCCTTAGAGACTGAAACTTTTAAACTATGAATGTTTCAGGGTATTCATGTTTTTAGTAACATATTAGTACACATAAGTGTACTGCTACTGATTCCATCCTAATTACTGTTATTTTTTTTAATTGTAGTCAGCAGTAATCATGTTGCAATCAAAGATAGGAACTCACCACTCTAGCTGGGTACAGGTCTAAATAAGAAAAATATTTCCCATCTGAAAACTTAAATATGAGTATAAAAGATAACTACAGGGCTTATTCTCCAAATGCTGGCTATCCTCTTGTGTTGCATGGTATTTCACTGATGTACTGTGAGAACTGAGTGTTTTGTTTTCTTTTTTGTTTCTGTTGCTGCTGCTTGCTCTGCCAAACTGCTTTTGTTGTAGATGTGTTAGTTTGCAAAATAAGTTGCTTATGAAAGTTACTGTAACAAAGTGTTATTGTGACTGCTTTTCCTCTAGGCTGACCATAGGTACTTCATTTTATAGCTTCTGCTTTGAAAAATACAAGTTTCTGCTGTAAGGAACCCAATCTGAAGGTGAAGTCCTGTGAAGTCTTAGTGGGCTAACTTCTAGTAAATGATATAGCTGTTAGTCGCTGTCCTGTGTCTATTGCTGGCTTAGACCTGTGTTAACTGCTGTATTAATTTGCCTAAATTTCAGGGAGAAACTCACATGGTTTTCCCAAAGGAGGCATCGATTGAGCAACTACGTAAAATCAGAGATCTAATTGCTGTAGAGAGGAGTAGCAGACTGAATGAGTCAAATCAAGTCCACAGATCAGGATCCTCTGAAACTGTAGCCAGCGCTCAGACAATTGCACATCAGCCTTCAAGACCTGTTGGCTCTGTCCCTGCCCCTGAACATCAGCAGCCAGAAACATCACTTCTGCAGTCTCTCAAAATGGTAATCGCTACCTGAATACTTTAGAGAAGCACTAATGTGAATATAAAGATTGAAGGAGTCAACTGTTGGAACACATCACTCAGGTTGTGTAATCTCCAAACGTGAATTTTTGTGACCTGACTGGATAAAGCCTTGAGCAAGTTGGTCTGACCTCATAGCTAGCCTCACTTTGAGAAGGAAGTTAGACTAGTGGTTGGCTGGTTGTTTTTTTAGATCTTCATCTTTTTGATGCTTAGATGAAGCATGCCATAAGTAGAACATTAGCAAGAGATTTTGTTGAAGATGTCTATAGATGTGTTTTATTGATCAGGTCATCATGAAAAGTAGCTGATTTCTATTGGAAAGTGCAACATGGGGGAGTAAAGAAGCAGAGGTTAAAACTATGGTATTTGTCTGAGAGCCAACAAAAAAACTGACATGTATGTTGTCTCCATTTTAACTGGGACTATTTCCTTTTTAGTGTCTGATATGATGCTGTATAATCAATAGATATCAAGATGTTACAATCACAAAATAAACAAGAGAGTTAGGCAAAGTGGACTATGATAACAAGAGAAAATAAATGGAAGACTTACCCTTATGCTGGCTGCACCACAAAACACCAGAAGAAGGGATCTCCAGACAAGATCCTTCCCCACTGGTAGCCAGCTCTTAAATAGGTCTAGGAGGGCTGGAGCCTGGCTCCACCCCTTCCGGCAGCACAGGAGAATTGCTTTCACCTGTGCTCCTCTGGCTGACTCAGTGCTTGCCTCAGGTGATCAATCAGAGGTTCAGGCCGTGACTCAGCAGTTCCCATACAGATGCTATGTTTTGGTTCTAGGAGAAAAATGATGTGCAGTCAGTATTGACAGTTCCTGCTAAACAGTGTTGCACAGAGCCAAGGCCATTCCAGTTTCTCAGCTCATAGTAACAATGGACTGGGAAGGTACAAAATTAGGCTTAAACTGGCCAAAGGGATGTTCTGTGCCATGTGACATAATGAAGAAGGAGAGTTTTGAAGGGAGTGAGGGTTCATCTCGCTATCCCCCACATCTGACGGGGCTAGCTGGGCATCAGTTGGTGGTGAACAATTACTTGTGCATCACTTGTTATATATGCATATATATATATATATATACACACACATTTGTCATAATAATTATTATCCTGTTATCTTTTTCTCTATCTTAGTGAATGGTTTTATCTCAACCCACAAGTTGTGCTTTGTTTTTTTTCCCCTTTCAATTCCCACCCCCATCCTCCTGGGAAAGGAGGGCTGTGTGATTCTCAGCCACCTGCTGAGTTAAACTACAACATACATTTATCACTGTTGACATCTCAGTTCACGCACTGTGACCTGTATTTGTAGACTGTAAGGGTGAGGCGGTAATTTAGCAAGGCAAAAAAATTTTATTTTTAGTTAGGCTGAGATGAAGTTCTCTGGTGATAAAGAAGCAGAGCCCTCCTTTCAGCTGATGTTACCTTGGCCTGGCAAGAGAAGACTCTTAAGACCTCATATTACTTTAGAAAATGAAGCAGTTATACTGTTTGATAGAATGTTGAAGGGTGCTTTATTTGAACTCTGAAGCTTTCTCCCTTAGAACCATTATCTTTGGTCTTAAATAAGTTGGTGCAAGATGAATTCTCCCCAAAGCTTTCTTCTTACGCATCCTTCAGCAGAATTTGTTTATTTGAAATGAAATTATTTGTATGTTGTTGGATGCTGAACGTGCTGTTTCTTACCTATCCAAAGATTTGGGTCAGGGAAATGATGCCACATGGGTTCGAGTAAGCAGATAGAATGATTGGATGTACTTTACTTTCAGTGTTTCACTTCTGCTTATTGTGTTTTACTGAGTTATTCCCTTCTGTAGTGGTAGTTGGAAGTGGTTATGAAACTTCTGGAGAGGCTTGCTGTAGTCAGTGCATTTTTCTAGTTTTCTTGTGATTCAGCATGAGTGGTGGGACCAAAACTTAATACAGTTTAGAGACAATTATTGCAATGGTTGTACTCCATTAGAAATCATAGAATCACAAGGTTGGAAACGACCTACAAGATCATCTAGTCCAACCGTCTCCTCATCACCATTGCCACCACAAGCACTAAACCACATCACGCAGCACGTCGTCCAGACGCCTCTTGAACACTGCCAGGGACGGCGACTCCACCACCTCCCTGGGCAGCCATTCCAGTGCCTGACCACTCTCTGAGAGAAAAAGTTCTTCCTTATGTCTAAGCTCTGTGTCTTTGCTGATTTTTTTTTTTCAAGAACTTATAATCAATCTGAACCTATTGAATTTTGGTCTATATAATGTTACTTGGAAT